CCTGCTGAAAATCAGATACCTATAAAAAGGAAAATCCTTTTCAGCTGGAGCATGTCCTGGTTGCTTACTCAGCAAGACATCACAGTTCTAAAGAAAAAAAAAAAAAAAAGGAGGGGAAAAAAAGCCACTCAAGATTTCTTTCCCCCTGGAAATTATATAGTCAGCATACTAAGAAAGCAAACAGCATTTTTTTCCATTCAAGGAACTAGTTTCCGAGTAATTTTTCTTCTAATTTCTACAAAGGAGGCATACAAATTTTAGGTAGCCTAAACCTGTGGAGAAAAAGATGAGTATCGGTACATATTTCCAACCAGGTTCCCCACAGAAACGAAGCTTAAGCAATCAAACTGCATAAGCATGTCCATTTTCTTGTAATAATTTTTGAACTGTGGAGTCTATTTCAACCAAACTGACCATGTCAAGTATCACAGATGGCAAGCTCCACCTGCTTAGCAGAAAACAGACACTCTCCCAGTGTCTTCAACAACTAGCAGACTAGGGAGCACTCCATCTTTATTAGATATCCAATTCCTCAAGGTTGAGACAAAAACCCAAAGAAATTCAGACCACTTCTCAAAAGAGGCCAATGCCACCTTTCACCATACATGCATGACTTAGAAACATCTGAATGCTTCCCATTGGGGCCCATCTGTTTTATCATAAAGACAGGGTAATCAGGAGTTTGGCCAAGAAAACTTCAGTGTAGGAACTCCCTATTATTCCTGCATGACCTTGTTTTCAGCTACATACTGATGGTACTGGGAGGATGATTTCAGATAGAAAGAGCTGGATCAAATAGATTGAAGGCAGATGTAGAAGGGCCACATTTATCCTTTTTTATTCAGACAAAGGAAGGATGCTTTGCTCCATAAGACCCTGTTTCTTAAAAAGAGTTAAAATACAGTTAATAAGTGAGTAGGGATAGCTGGGTTTCCCAGCTAGACTTCTGGGGTTGGGGTCCAATACAATATGTAAACATTGGCAGGGTGAATAGACAGGTCTTCTTCCTTCTCTTTATTCGCTAATTATGTGCTCACCTTCTCCAAGCATAATCATCTAAGAAACTGAAAAGTCTGCCTGGGGCAGGACGGGGAGGTTAGGTGGGGACAACCTTTTTATGGGGACAATCTTTGTAGCAAGGCCTGTTGTGACAGGACAAGGAGTAATGGTTTTAAACTAAAGGAGGATAGGTTTAGAGTGGATATAAGGAAGATATTTTTTACAATGAGGGTGGTCAAGCACTGGAATAGGTTGCCCAGGGAGGCAGTGGAAGCCCCATCCCTAGAAATGTTGAAGGTCAGGTTGGATGGGGCTCTGAGCAACGTGATCTGGTTAAAGCTGTCCCTGCTCACTGCAGGGGGGATGAGCTAGGTGATCTCTAAAGGTCCCTTCCAAACCAAAGCATTCTATGATTCTAGGACCAGTTAATTATCTTCTGCTTTTCTATGTGCCCATCATTAAAAGGAAATTGGGTATACCATACCATAGATCTTCATATTTATGAGGACAAGCAGCAAATCCTGGAATCTTGTACTGATTTGTGTTTCCCATAAGCTGTGATCTGATGCAAATTGTTTGCTTTGTAGCAAAGTGGGCTTCATGTAGCATTGTATACAAAAATCAGTTCTTGTTTCTACATTGTTTGGCATGTATCTGAAAACATCTAAAGGAAGAACTCAACTGCCTTAACCATAATCATACTGTCTAGTTACCATAACCATTTTTTTGTTTCTAAAAACCAGACATACCCAAATCCTCTGAACTCACTGTTTATGTTAAAACAGTAGCAGCAGTGTATCAACTAGCTGCGTTTACTTACTTTGCCTGTTGACAACTGTAGTCCTGAAAATCTTCTGTCTTCACTTTAAAGCTCCTTCATATAGGTGTACTGTCAACATGGCTAGTCAAATTGCCTCTGCTTCTATCTACGCAGAATTAATTTTCCTTCCTCAAACTACACTGATCTGAAAAAGGCACAATTCTTCAACTGTGCTGGTATGCTGGAGGGAATAAAAATTATAGTATTATTATGACAGTGAAAAAGGATCTTTCCCTTTTTTAAGTCATGCTATTGCTAGCTAGAATACCATTAAACAAGCAAGACAGTGACTGTTTCAGTTTTGGGACACCAGAACACTGTGGGCTACTATTTTGAAGGGTGAAAACCTTGGATAATCACAGACCTCTGAACTTACTTCAATCATTACAATACAGAATGCTGTCGAATTAGTAGTCTTGTACCCTTCCTAAGAGCACAAGTCACAAGCTTCAGTTCTGATAAGGACTTGGTGGGACAGGAATTCTGCTCAAACCCTCGAATGGTCCCTGTGCTGGCTGATGGCAGTTATTCATCATCCAAGGTTCCCATATAGCATAAAATGAAGATTTCCTTTCAGAACAGTTTTGACTGTTCACAGTATCACTAAACCACAAGTTACTCAGAACCCAATATTCTGCCTCCAACCTCAAACCTTGTTGCTTTAAGCAGAGTAGTTTACATTGTTGTCAGATCACTGCCATAGTATCCAAGTGCAAACACACCCAAAAACCCCATAATACAGGTCTCAATGCCCAGGTATGCTGAAAAACAAGGAGGGAAGGAAAACATCCTCTTCCTTTCACCATAGTGTGGAATATTTCCACCTTTCCCCCAGAAAGTAACGCACAGTTCTGTATGTTTTTTCAAATGGACAATGAAGAACAGAAGGACACTGAAAATTTAAAACATGCACAGCCCTTTTGTTTCAAATTTCTTAAGTAGTGCAGCAACCATAATGAAGGATGCCATGTAAGGCCAAGAAAAATCAGTCACAAAGACACAAGAATACCCAGACCCACTGATCAGCGTACTTCAGGTGTATTTTTTATTTACAGAGTGGAGATGCCTAATCAGTTATAACATTAGACACCTGATAATTCAGCTTTTTTTGTAAAAGTATATAAATATATACACAAAACTCTATGAATTAAACATTATTAACTGTGATACTTACAGAAAACAGTCAGTACTATCCTTATGCTAACAGGCATCTCTTAAAGCTTAAATGCTGATTTCAAGATACCCTCTATAAAATAGCTGTAATTGTACTAAAAGGGCAACAATTCTGTGCCATAAACAGGCTTTTAAAAGAGACTAGTAAGATTTCTTTGTAATAAAGTTTGCCAGGATAAAAACACTGCTTCATCCTTCCCATCCCCCCACCCTGTAAGAAACAAATACCCCCAAACAGTTACAGAACTGCAGGAGGTATTATAAGATTACCTTTTTCTTCTTCTTTACTGTGGTTTTTTTTTTTAAATTAAAATATTTTTATTTCAAAAATGCAGCTTTATTAAATATTATTTACTGTTATACAAAAATCTCACATATGTGTCCATGGGGCTAAAGACATTAGTGGTATTGTATGAGCTATCCCTTTTCCTTATAACTATATACCTTATTAGGAATGATGGAGAGACTTTATAGGTTTGACAGCAGCTGAAGAAAGGGACTGGAAAACTATTGGCAGAACAAAGAAAACATGCGAGAGCCTCTAGACCTCCTTGCTTCCTTATTTTAAAAGCACTTCTGCTTCAGTATTTTATTTGCCTCTCTGTTGTTCTTCATGTTGGAGATGATTCAGAACATAAAGGACAACTTGATAGCAGAAAATGTACTGATCCTGCAAGGGAAAGGAAGTCACAGAACACGTGAAAAATGCTTGCACCACCTAAACAGTTCACTCTCACCTGCACAGCACTTGATTTCAATACTATTTCTACAGTTAAATAAAAAAACCCACAAAACAAAACAAAAATAACGCACTGTGGAGAAATACGCAACCCCAACTTAAAACAAATACAGGTACTCCCCTGCCACTTAAGATATATCTTTATATGGGACATTTATCCTCCTTTCACACCAAAACCACCTCAAGCGGAGTAAGTACCTTATGTAAGTAGACATGAAGATAGCAAGTGAATTTCAAGGTCTTGCATCAATGCCAAGTAATACAGAATTCAGACAACAGTGCAACTTCTTATCTTAATCTCAGTGATACAGGTGTGGGGTCTAATACATGTTTTGGGGTGTGAGGTGGGGCTGATAGTTTTATGGTTTGGTTTTAGGTTTGTGGGTTGTTTTGGGGGGGTTTTTGGTTGTGTGTTTTTTTTTTTTTAAAATATGACTTGACAATTCCTTCACATTCAAAGAAAAAGCGCAGATTTTAACAAGACCTTGTGATGCCCATCTCTAAGATAAAGTTAATTAGCTCTAGATCTAGATTATTCCTAAAGCATTCATTTAACTTCTGGTTGAATACATCCCCAAAGGAGATTTCAAGACATCTTTGGTAGTATCAGTGATTCATAGCAGTTAGGCCTTCTCTTCAGTTTATAATGCAATTTTTAGCCAAAAAAGCTCAGCCAATTTCCTCTGTAACACATGCTTTTGAAGACAAAAACTCCCAACTTTGCCCCTCCTCCCCACTTTTAACCACAGATCAAAACAGCACAGCATGTTATAAAATGGCATGCATTTATAACTTAAATATGTACTGCTACTCAGTGGTATGCATCTGATTTAATTCTCATGACACAAATGTTGCATTAGAGTGTACAAAGACAATCACTGTGTGCATCACAGAAAGTTTCCTGGCACATCAGAGTTAGAATTCCAGTGTCTTTCCTTTAGCTATACCTGGGGAAGCCAGACTCACCTCTGTCTGAACCATCCCATGTCTCTGCAGACGCATCGTGCGCACCAGGTCTGAGATGTCAAACTACCAAAACAAACAGCAAGTTAAACATTCAAAAAAGGCATACAAGCATATAAAGGAAACATGGGTGCTGAGAAACCTCACTGAGCTAAGCATGACATAGCTCATCTCTACAAATTCACAGAAAGATTTGCTACACCAGGCCACTGAAGGACATAAAAATAAGGAAGCTAGCACCCTCCTGTGGATCACCTTAGAAAGCATATCCCTGATTGTGCTGGAAAAGTGAATTTACATACCCTCATCTCCAGCCGAGATGTTTGTACACTGAGTTTTTGATTCAATTGCCTAAACAGGTACTCTGGATGGCTTCTAGCTGTCCTCCAACAGTTCAAAGATCTCTGACTGACCAAGTGCCACAACTCTCAGCCCTAATAACATTTAACACCATAGCTCCACTGAGTACATTCAGCCAGGTAAGGCAGGCATTTTAACTTTTCCTTCAATTGCCTAAGTCATCATGGCAACACACTGTTGTTCCCAAGCCATAAGCCTGAAGTCTGCTATGGTAGGAGATGTCCTTGCAACATACCCTAGAACATCTCAAGTGGCACCTAACAATGTTGGTCTCCTGAGGTGTCAAACAGGACACTTAACAAGATTCCCTGAGCTAACCCAAGAACCAGCGGATATTAGAGCTCTTCCCCCCAGGATCATCAACAAAGAAACATTTCACAGGTACTGCTGTTTTACACCCTGATTTATGTCACATTAAGCAGCCAGCATGCTACTCTCAAAAGCATGACATATTCTTTAAACAACTGAATAGATCCAATGGAACACATTTCCTGCAAGTCAAAAGCACAGCTTAATCCATCCTCTTGGGTACTCACATCAAGGTCTTTGCTGATTAACCCTAGAACAACATCTATACAAATAAGGGTCCCCGATCGTCCAATGCCTGCACTGCAGTGAGTTATGATAGGTCCCGATTTGTGGACATGCCGCATGTAGGAGATAAAAGTAAGCAGGTCATCTGGTTGAGAAGGGGTGTCATGGTCAGGCCAGGCAATGAAGTTCAGATGGGAAATGTGCCGTACTTCACCTGTCTGAGGTTTAAAAACAACAACAACAACAAAATGTAACACATGAAAAGAATAAAAAGACAAAAGGTAAGTTCCCAAAGGAAACAGTCTTAGAAGAGAGGGATTTGCCCAATGAAGGCGTTCTGTAATTCAATAAAACAAGAGAAACAATGAGCTAAACTGAAAAGAACTAGCAAGTAACTGAATAGTATAAGGTTCACTGTGCAGACTGAGCTGATCACACAGAGGAATGAACCGGCCAGACTGAAATTATCAGTGAATTTCATATCCCTATATATGTTTCTGTGGCCAAAGGCACCTAGGGAGCCAAAATTTAGAGTCTCATTGGCATAATGAAATCATCTCCTGGCCCAACAGCCTTCTCCTATGAAGTTCACAGAGTAGCACAAGCTGCAGTGAGGAAGAGTTGCCCAGTAATGATCACTGGGCAAAGAGGAGAAGCCCTGGGTTACCTCTCGATGTAGACATTGTGACTGAAAGCAGGCAAGCCAGAAGTATGAGGATAAAAATGCCACCACTCAGAAAAAAATTCTCAGCATGCAGAATTAGATTCACTTACCTGAATGTCTTCCAGCTCCAGCACTCTAATGATAAAGCCCTTCAGCTGCTGGAGTCTTACAAGAGCAAGCCGTAGTCTATCATTTATCATGGTGGTTTTATTGAGTACATCTGGCCAGTAACGTTGGCATTTTATCTTTTCTCCTTCAACCTCCTGAGTCATCATGGCAATCACAGTACAGTTCTGCTCCCAAACCATTTGCCAGAAATCTGCTACAGTAGTAGGGAGAGGTCCTTGACATGCAATGTAAACAAACTCTTCATTCCCCACTGGCATGCGAATGAAGCTGGCATTGATGTATCCACCTTCAATCCCAAGAGGTACTCTAGTGGTATCATCTGCAATTCCCACACAACAAAAATACTTCAATGTTATGTGCGCACATAATTAGACCTTCACACAATTAGAGATGCTGAGCCTTACACACTCACATAGCACTTATCTCCACAGATGTTTCCAGATCTTATTTAAAAAAATAGACATCACTACAACACTTGCTTTACGATACTAATCAGTACTTCTTTTTGAATAAAGAAAAAGATGGCTAGGGGAGAAATCTAAATCAGCAGAAAGACAGGATGGGCAATCTGAACTGCAGCACCTCTGAAACTGTGGCTGAGTATTTCTCACTCAGAACTAACCTTTGTCAGTTCTCACTTCTCCACACATCTCCCACCTAACAAACAGAATTTTCTTGCAGGAAATTTACTGACAATAGTATAGATATCTGTTTTTCCAATTTTACATGGGTAAAACTGAAAAAATCTTGTCTGGCTCCATATGCATATCTCATTTAAGACAGAGGATCTGCTGAAACAACTGAAGAATCTGTGAACATCCATCCCCTACCTACTACAGTAGTCTATTGTTCACTGATCTTAAACTGCTTTATAAGTGCTTGCTTTAAATGTGTAGAAAAGGAGTGGCAGATTTTTTTTCCCCTGACTCAATAGCAGAACCAGGATTGGGAATCAAACCCCATCCCACTTCTGATCCAATTCTGACCATACAGGCGGTGACAAAATATCAACAGTGAACTTCCGATTAGTTAGGACTTACAAGGAAGTATGTTTTTATATCTGTTCTTTTTCCTATTCTCCTTTGCTTGTCCAATCAAACACTGATCCAAAGGTTTTAACTCCTGAAGGTTCTGTAGAGGAACAATTACACGTATAATTAGGAAGTGCTGGATGGTAACATTAAGAGCAGTTATGTAACCAAGTCAACAGACAGAATCATTAAAAAAATATCCTTATGTGGATATGCAAAATAATTCAGTCACAGGCAGGAATCTAATTTCATACAGCTAAGAAAATGAAACAAAATAAAAAAATATGCTATCCAGTAAGTATTTTTATCTCCTTCTCCCAAAAAAGAGACCCTGTAACATGGTTAAGTCTTAAGACTTAGACAGGCTGTTTTCACATTCTGCAGCTAGACTTCGAAGCCTTTATTTACCTTGTCTATGCTTGTTAAGGTCATATTCACTTGGTAATTTACCAGAAGAAAGAATGATGTAAACACACTTTTGAACTGAATTCCCAGTTCAGACGAACCTTACTTCTCAGCAGCTAGTGGGGGGAAGGGAGAGAATTCTTTGGTAAAAGAAGTCTTTTCATCCCTTTAGAGCTGCAAATTAAAGAGCTGTGGTATTTAAGGCAGTGATGAACCAGCCATTCTATTTCTAACTGTTTCATACTAGAAAAAAAGGACTTTAAAGGACAAATAGTTACTCACTTCAATCTCTTTAGAAGGGACTCCCTGTTCCAGCAATCCACGCAACATCCTGATCACCGACTTCAATTTGGCTCCTGAGTACTTGCCTCCAGGGAGCACACTCACAGTAGGGAGTGCAGAGATCTCTTCATTTGTCACTAAAGGGAAATCTAGCAGAAGAACAAGACTGACTGATATAAATAAATACATAAATAGCTAAAACTAGGGAAACAAACTGTAGTGCAATGTTGGATTTCCTTGTTCCTGTTCACCACCGTACTACCTGTTTTCTCTAGAATGTCTCCATACAGATGCCCTCTCAGTTTGACAGGCAAAACCAAATTAACTAACAAAACTAGTATGACACAAAATCAGCTTTGAAGAATCCAGGAACCAAAGGGAGTATTCTCCTGAACTTCCAATAAATACACTGAAACAAACTTCAAACACATCTTAAATGTAAGTTCTTCACACAGTAACCTACAAAATTGATGAATACACACGGGGATGAATTCAGAACTCTCCACTTAAATATCACAGCCTGTGACTGTTTTTAGCACTCATACTCGACATGTCTTCCAAGTGGTAATTGTAAGATGTGTTAAATAAGGTTTTTTCTGTTTGTTTGTTTTTCAGTAAAGCTTGTTTTCTATCAGGCTTTCAGTGTTTCTCTGAAGCACAACAAAATTAATAAACCAAGAGTCTCTCTGATACCGCAATCAAAAGTGTCCTAAATCTACTTAGTCTAAAGGTTTACACAGATTATCCTTTTTGAATGAATGCAGACCAAAGGCTGCTGTATATGAATTTCAGTAACTGACATTTCTAATGCTATCTCAGAAAGTAAAGACTAGATTCTGCCAAATGTATCAAGTAGTGTTCCACTCTGCCACACTGAGCAGCAGTGGAAGAATGAAAGTCAAGATAAAGAAAAAATATTGCCTAATTTGAGCATGGAGTAGCTGGTATGTGAAGCACATAATACACATAGATCTGATCACAGTCAAACATCTATATTGTTACAGCTTTTGTCAGATAGATAGTACGGAAGAAGGCATCTCAGCTGGTTTCAACCCTACTACAACTACAGGCACAACGCTGCCAATACCTGTTCCTTTTAACTCTCACACATTTATTACAGAAAGTCGTAAAGATCCTTTCCAGTGGGCTGCTGAGCTGTTATATTTCTCGTTACACCTGTCATTACACCCTTAAAACATATCCAGGACATTTGAAAATTCACTTCTGAGATTTTGTCCATTGGTACTCAGTTTTCCACTGATTATTTGTTAAAGTTCTTGCCTTTATTTACATGTTCCTGGCTGACTGATTCAATCGGCAGTTCATCACTTCCCCATGTGATTTCATCTTCGTCTGCTTGACTCAAGGGAGGTTGTGGAGGAGATCTGTAAGAGGACAAGGTATGGAAGTAAGAAGGAACACCTAGAAATAACCAACATGTGCAATCTAATAAAAAAAATCACCAGAAAGTAATTTATACCTACAAGTATTTCCAGGCTGGATCCATACTAGTAATCTCAAAAACCCACCATATTTTTCCTTTTTTAAATCCCCAGTGGGGATTTGAAAAATGTAACAGTGGAAAAAGAGCCAGGAAGACATGAATCTAGTAATAACTATCACTGCAATTAATTTTCAAAGGCTAAGCAGTCAAGTAACATCCAACAGCAGATTTGTACCATTCACGTAATTCACCACCTATACACTAGAATATCTATGTTCAATTGCAAGTTTTCTAGCTTTGTTGAAGATGGTAATAAATGTATTAAGTATTTTAGTCATAATGTCGCTGTTTGTGCTAAGTCTCAACCCAAAACTTCCCAGAAACTTAATCAAAACACAAAAAGAAGTATATACACTTTGACTGAAGCTTCACTTAGACTAAGGACTAAAATTATTTCAAAGAAAAACGATCTTGGGAATTTCCAAAATTCAAGGTGGCTCAAAGGGACAGCTAGCAACTTGGCCAGGCATATCATTTGTTTTCCATGTAAAAAAATAAGCCCCAAGCACCCAAATGGGAACAGATGAACCAGTGGAACTATACGGTTTAGTTTCTGTGCTGTGAAACCAGAAGAAGTAACATTAATGAAGCTTGTAAAGATGCAAAATGAAGACAGCATTGTTGGAGCGTTTTCTTCACATGCAAGTACCAAATCGTGTGTACAATGCAAATTAAGTTATTTGGAGCCATTTGAACACAGCCCAGTTACTTGTTGTAACCACATATCAAAGTAATAAATAAAACTAGGGCATAGTAAACCACATAAAGCTGAACTAGTATTCAGGCCCATTATAACTTTTTAAATAACAAGAATAGACAAGAGAGCAATTCAACAAGACACTGCACAGATATTATTGGGTTTGTTTTGGTTTGGGGGTGGGTTATTTTGTTTGTTTGTTTTTCTCTCATTATAACATATCCCTCTTCAGAGTTTCAGACTTCATAGGTCTGCTTTCAAGCAACACTAGAAGAGAAATCTTACCTTTCTGTCACAGCTTTTACTTCACAATAGTCTTCACAGCCATTTACATGTGTTGGCTAGTTGAAGAAATATTTCAAAACACATTAAAAGACGAAGTTATAACACTCATCCACTGTAAATTTTAAACAATTAATAATTACATGGACTATTTCTGAAGGGTACTAAGTTCAAAGCAGCACATAATGACAGACTTTCCTCTTTTAGACATCTCATTAACCCAAAATAACAGAGGACAAGAACACCAAGAACTTGGAAAGAGGCTCTACTGTAACAAAGCCAAAAAGCTATCTTAAAATCACTCCTGACTCACAGCAGCAGTAGAGCCATCTAATTTTCCTCCAGTTCACTTTTTTTATTTCTAATACTTAAAAACCCTTTATGAGGTAAGTTTGATAGTAAAAACTTCTGCCTGTCAAGCCACCATTCCTATATAAGACAGAACAGGGCTTTACCTCTAAATGACAGGTGCTCCTATATACACCCTCCTCAACAGACAATGAAGATTCAGCAGAGAAGGCGGCATTTCAATCCTCCTTTAAAGAAAAACTCTACAAAACCATTTATACTTATTAGGCCAGCTTGCAAGGTTCCACTACCATACTCGGAGAATTTTACTTGTGGATCTCATAGAGCACGCTGACACAGAGCCAGACTCCTGATTTGACTCTCAGCTCTACTAACTGGACAGGAAGCTGCAACAGTCAGGATGTGCTGGACAGACAAATTTCTGCTGAATTGAAATATGAGGCAAAACCTGGGCATCTAGTGACTTATGTAAAACAGGACATGCAATAATGTAGGGTAAACCACATATAGAAGTTACTCAAGTTAATGAACATATCCTAGCAAAAAGTGGGAAGAAAAGGAATCTCAAATTTATATTTTGGAGAGTTAAGTCTACACAGCATTCACTGTGACTGCTTCCCTTCTTTGAGCAGGAATCAAGGAAATCTTTCAGATTAAATGTCTGAAATAACATTAACAAGGTAGTTTATTATCACCCTTTTTGTAAAAAAGCTGTTGGGCTTTATATGAGAAACAGTGTAAAATAACTCTGTGCTTTGTTCTCTTACGTAATTTATGATAATCATACACTATTTTAAAAATAAATGTTTGTACATCATTTACAGCTACTACTGACAAAGATGTTTTCATTTAAAAGACATGTAAAGTTATTTCCACAAGTTCTATGCCAATAAGGAAAATAATAAATTGAAAGAGTGCCTGAGAAAGCAAAATCAGCAGACAAATGTCTGCCAGCTTCTTGCCATCCCACCTCTGAAAAATCTTCAGGTAAAGATGACCCATCACAGTCTGTGTCTTCAGACTTGTCCTCTGTCAGCTTTCCATTCATCTCTACTGGAACAGGAAAATCAGGAGATACAGCATAAATACATCAAAAGATGCCCAGGAGTCACCTTCTCACAGATGTGAATCCTGTTACAGTTGTCTGGCACTACACAAGGAATACAGGTGCCAGAAAAACCAAGAAACATCTTTTAAGTCCTTTCTACCGGTGTGTTGGAAAAGAGGTCTTACTGTACAGGATAATCAGAGTTCAGGCTTCTTTCTTTTTTAACTGGAACAGCTGTCATTACGTGTGAGGTTGTTTGCATAGCTAACAGAATATCTGTGCCACAGCATAATGGATAGACAGGCTAGTGCTAGTAAGTTATCAGATTCCCATGTCAATACTGTTTCTGCAATTCAGTTACATTTAGACCAGCAGTATGTCTAAACCAGGATTTTACTTGCTCTTTGTATTAACAAGACCTAATTAAGATGTGCTGGATAAAATCTGACTTGCATCTGTCTGCTACAGTAGTTTCCTGCTGCCGTATCTTATGGATTCAATTAATCTTCAGTTGCAAAGGCCAGATCCTAGCTATAAGATTGGAAGTAGTGGAGCTCCAATGATATTCCTCAGCTGAGTCCTAGCACCTGGAACACCTCAGTATTCCCTGATTTCTAATGTAATGACTAATGACAATGACCCAATGAACTTGAAGAGCAGCAAAAGAGCTGAAATAATTATAATTTTGGAAGGTATATCTTGAGTTCTAGAAGGAACCTCTACAGGAGTAGCAAGCATCTTGCTTGAACTTCTGGAGCATACATACATAGTGTGACACCACAAAGGAACTCTAAATCCTACTCCATGCTAAATTTCATAGAATCATAGAATGCTTTGGGTTGGAAGGGACCTTTAGAGGTCATCTAGCCCAACCCCCCTGCAGTGAGCAGGGACAGCTTTAACTAGATCACGTTGCTCAGAGCCCCATCCAACCTGACCTTCAACGTTTCTAGGGATGGGGCCTCCACTACCTCCCTGGGCAACCCATTCCAGTGCTTCACCACCCTCATTGTAAAAAATATCTTCCTTATATCCAGTCTGAATCTACCCTCCTTTAGTTTAATAACATTACTCCTTGTCCTGTCACAACAGGCCTCGCTAAAAAGATTGTCCCCATCTTTCCTATAGGCTCCCTTTAAGTACTGAAAGGCCACAATTTCAGTTAATAATAACTGGAGCTGAGGAGATAGAATGAAGGAAAAGAAAGGTGTACAGACAGAAGCAGGTACTGAAAAAAACCAGTTTTTCTAAAAGAGACAAAGCAGGTTGGCAAATTGTTTGGTGTTGAGAGATCTCAACACATTTCCAAGTCGTGCAACCTGCAATCAACGAAGTGTTGAAACGCTTCAGCATTTCAACATGACTGTAGCTGCAGAACCAGGTACCTAATCAACACGAATTCCACTCAAGAGACAATTCCAGAATGGGATTAATTTTCCCAGATTACTTAAGGCAAAATTCCGATTTATCAAACCAGAGCTTGACTTATTAAATTGAATCTGAAGTTCACTGGAATCAGCAACTACTTGTCTGTGTTCTACTTGGGAAACTTCCAGTTCACACATGAATTCAATGTCAACTCTCCCTCCTGCCAAACCAATTGCTTACTTGGCACCTTGTTTCAAGAAGTAGTTTGCTGTTAATGATAGCTTTTTTAATGGCTCATGTTACCTGGCAGGTGATCATCTGATGCAGTCTTCTTGAGATGTAGAAGTCTCTGAGCCTCTGAAGTCGCATTATGATGATTTAAGAGGTTCTGGGCTTCCTCATCTACAACATCCAACAGATACTGGACAACTTCATTGTGATCATCCTCATCATAATACTCATCATCTGGAACCTCTGTTTCTAAAGAAAAATAGTATCAAATGACAAATTTTCCCAATATAGAATGTTGGGGGGGGATTAAAAGGCCAGACAACATGACATTATTTCTAGCTGTTATCATGGCTTTCCTTCATTTCTCTCTAACACAGAATCCAATTTCCATAAATCTACTTCCAACATCAACTAACTCCTCTAAAGCAGAGCACATGACTTGGAGATGATCTTCTAAAATTGACTGCCAGCCTAACATCGACTTTTTTCAGCCTATTCGACAATGCCTTGATTCTTTTGTATTTGTACACTAAAGACTGAATAATGCTGTCCCCCATCTCACCTCCTCTTACCTGATTTGTCACTGTGTTTAGAAAAATCTGACATCTGATTGGTAAAGCCAAGGGAAGGTGCATCTCCAGATCCTGAGAGACTCGTTAGTCCTTTTGTGTGATGGATATTGTTTTGTTTATTTGCCTGAGAAGATCCTAGGATGCCACTGCCATTTATCTAAGAAAGCGAAGAACAGTACAAATTAACTCTTAAAGAGTCTGGCCATTTGTTGAAGCAGGAAGCTACCCTTAAAAAGTTCACTGCTCCACTTAGCAACAAATAACCCTATTTGTATCGTATTCTCACTGAGATAGCTGGATGATGGGTGGGCAGCTTTTAAGTGTGTTAGAAGTTTCACATGAAAAGAGCAAATAATAAATATGCAAGTTGTTTTTTTATGACCACTACTTATTCACATCAACTGACAACAGTGGGTTTGCATACTTTCATTAACTGTTTAATTTATTTATTTATTTTAAAAACATGTGTAAAGTAGATCCTTTTCTCTGGTTAATGATAACAGGCACAACAGAGGAATATTTACCTTGGGCCCATAAGCATCAGTTGTCTTTTCTATTTTATCACACGGATCACCACAGGAACAGCCTAAACAAAAATGGGAAAAAACAACTTCACAGCAACTTTTCCCCAGAAATTAAATTAGCCCACATCAATTATTTTTATAAAACTATCAAGGTATTTAATATTATTTTATGAAATTAATAACATTTCTGCCTGCCTGGTTACTAGGCATTGCCAAACTTACATCTATCTGATGGACTACAATTTATAATGGCTTTTTGAATGTTACATTCAATGGGATCAGAAAGTGTGAATGCTAATACAAGTAACCAACTCTAAGCAAAGAGAAATGTTGATAAATAGCTTAACAACACACAGTGAAAACACGCACCTTTGGGAAACAGGGCAAGATTCCCTTTCCCTTGAAATGTACAAAATACAATCCCAAAATCACCTGCCATTAAATTTTTGTTTTGGTTTGGTTTGGTTTTTTTTGTTTGCTTAAACATCATCTGACATCTGGGTCGTTGTTCAAAGGTACCTTTCCCTTCTTGGTAAAGAAAAGAGTAATACTGCAGTATCAGAGACCACCACCTATCCTAGACATCCCATTACTGGTATAATAAATGAGACAAAGTGGAACCAGTAGATGCTATATACCTAGTTACTAGTGAAGTTCTGGATTTTCATATACATTACACTTTTACAAAGAAACTTGTAGATGAAATAACTGAAGGCTAAGAGTAACCTTGTATCTTCTTATGAACCTATGCATGACAAGTCATCTACAGGAAGGGAGTTTTAAGTGCGGTCTTCCAAGATTTGGTTACAGGGCTTGTTCCTAATGAACATCTTGACTAAGTTTTTTGAAACAAAATGCGTACCATACCTAGAAAATATGTGAGCAACACTAAACTGTAAGAGTTGCAATAATTTCATAAGGCAAGATCAATACTCAAAACCTAGATACATTAAAGGAAGCATGAAAAACAAGACTATGATGAATCAAGACAAATGCAAAGTGCCACATTTCAAAGAAAAAGCAAATGCGTAAGATGGTAAGTAACTGCATAAGCAGTTGCTCTGTACAGAAGCAAATGTAGGTGGGTGAAGGATCCTGAGTCTAAGTGAATGAACAAGGAACTATTTAGCAAAAGGCAGTTAATCTCACTCAGGATGTATTAACAGGAATGCTGTCTACACAACCCTGGAAATAATTCTTCCTGCCTGCTTGGCACTGGTGAGCCTCACTCAATACTGTGTGACCAGAAGCACCACACCTGAAGAGGAAAACAGCAAGATGTAAACAAACTGAAGGGGAGCAATAAAATCAATTTGGGCTCCTTTGGTCTTGAGAAAGAGAAGACCAATGGGAGACCTGAAGCCCTTTCAAATGTAACAAGTTCGTATTTTTATGCCTGGTCAGAGGAAACAAATAGAACATTATTATTCTTCATAACAATTACAACAATGATAATCAATTTAATGATTTTTGATTTTTTTAACTCCTTGAAAGACTTAGGCTTGATATTAGAGAGAATTTCTAAACTAGAACAGAAATGGAATCATAAAGAGCCTATGGTTTTGTTGAATCCCTTTGCTTTTATAAAAACGATCAAGCAAACACCTGCTGGAGCTCATGTCAGTAAGTAGAGTTCTAGTGCAGCCACTGGACTAGGATGGTATCTTAAGGCCCATATCATTCCTTCATTTTTATAAACACGTGCATTTCACTTGCAATAAGTAAGCAAGCAAATCTTACCATTAGCTTTCATTGGCCATGGATTCGAGCTATCGGGGCTTTTGGATTTTGGAAGCACTGCATGACCATCTCTATGAAAAGAAACATTTACAGAAATTTTTATTAAACAAAATAATGGTAATCATCAGATATTGATGTAAATATGTACTATCAGTAAACCTGCTAATCATGTTTTCTATTACAACAGTTTTTTTTTAAAATACTTAAAATATTCAATGAGAGAGATTAAGCACTGGTAGTTAGGTTAGTTCCTACTTCAGGGAGCACCAAAGAGTTCATTAGAACTGGAACTTCTTCTAAGTTCTCACAAAAAGATTTGACTTCGCAGCCTCAGGACTTTGCAACTCCTTCCCCTTCTGGGATACAACAGAGTGGGAAGGAGAAAGAGAGAGAGGCAGCAAAGAACAGCAGGCATGTCTGGAAGACTTCAAAAATGAAGTAAATGTTTCAGTCCCAAGTAACTATTAAAACAGAGTAATCTGGAGAGTTTGTTTAGACTGCCGTATTGCCATAAAAGAAGCAGCAGGGATCAGTGAAAATACAGTGGTGCACTAGGGTCTGTGCCATAGGGTTTTGAAATTCACCAGTGTGCTGGGACATCCATGTGACAGTAGAACTATTTAAGCATCAAACAACATTTTATCTCCTCTTTATGATTACAGAACCCTCAGTAGCAGTTTTAAGAAAAAGGAGCAATTGTATGATGTCCCTGCTTGCTGTAGGGGGGTTGGGCTACATGATCTCTAAAGGTCCCTTCCAACCCAAAGCATTCTATGACTCTATTTAAATAACCTGTGTCATATTTTGAAAATGATATTTTGAACACTTGCACTTCATATTTGGACACAGCCTTGTCTTCCCAAGAAACACAAAACACAGCAAGTACTAAGTACTGTTCTGCTCCACTGAAGCACAAAAACTGCAAATATACAGACCCTTTTGTGGCATCAGTCCTCAATAGCATGCCACCTAGCACCACTCCAGTGAATTAGTTGTCATACCAGGAACATGTTTTACCCATATACTCATACAATCATGTGAGAAAAAACAAAAAGTACACAGGAAGCATTTGCTTCCAAAACATACCTGGTCGCTTTGAGCACCACTTTCGGAAGGTATGTTTCCAGCATTCTTTTGGCTTCTTTCAGAGTCATTCCCTGTGTGCTTACTCCATTAATGTAATGGATAACATCTAGTGCACGGAGACTCTCCTCTCTGGCAGCAACCGATTTGGGGAGAATGTCACTAATATACACAACTTGATAAAGGCTGTCATGACCTCCTGATAACAACAAACCTTGGCAGGGAAAAAAGGGGGGGGTGGTGGTGGTGAATCAAGTTCTGTCTTTGTAACTGAAGGGAAAAATGTTGCTTTAGAGCAAAAAGCAGTACAATTCTGTATTACCTAGCTCCTCCTTATGGCACGTTAGTGTAATATCAGGCAGTAAATGAGGCAACACTGGCATCTTGGGTAACTCCAGAACACGTCCTAGCACTAATCTGACAGTCTTCGGGGCAGCACGGAGAAAGTTTACTGCATCAGTATGACTCATGTTAGTGACATCAATGTCATTAACCTGTGAAAATAAAAGCAACAGAGATCTCCTTGTTAAGTTCCAAGTAAAACAGTTAGCATTACTGTAGAAACATTTATTATTGTTCCTATTGTTGACATTTGACATTAAAGGACAAAACAATAGAAGCTTTACTGACAACAGTTGCAGTTCATCATACTTACCCAACAAGAGAGAACACATAAATGTAACAAATTTTGCAAGTGAAGAAACAAGTTTACAGTCCAAATGTCAAAATATTAAACAATCTGAAGACGTGTATTATTTTACTGTTCCTATTTAAAACATTGGAATGCTATTAACTGCACAGGCTAACAGCTGAAAGTCTGACTCACAACCTAATCCAATTTGCCTTGTATTTGCCCAACTTTATTAAGGCTTAGTAGTATTCAGTGTCCTGATCTAGCAATGACTCTCACACATGCTCTGTGTTATGCACTTTGTCACTATTGCTCACAGACCCTGTAAGCCCAAATCCAAGTTTTCAGTCAATCAGAAACTAATACTATAAGGGACAAAATGCCATTCAGAGGGACCTGCACAAGCTCGAGAAGTGGGCCCATGTGAACCTCATGAGGTTCAACAAGGCCAAGTGCAAGGTCCTGCACCTGGGACGGGGCAACCCCTAATATTAGTACAGGCTGGGGGATGAAGGGATTGAGAGCAGCCCTGCCGAGAAGGACTTGAGGGTACTGGGGGATGAAAAGCTGGACATGAGCCAACAATGTGCACTCACAGCCCAGAAAGCCAACCGAATCCTGGGCTGACTCACATGAAGCATGACCAGCAGGTCGAGGGAGGTGATTCTGCCCTTCTACTCTGCTCTGGTGAGACCCTACTTGGAGTGAGTCCTGCATTCAGCTCTGGAGTCCTGAGCACAGGAAAGACATGGACCTGTTTGGAGTGGGTCCAGAGGAGAGCCACAAAAATCATCAGAGGGATGGAACACCTCTCCTATGAGGAAAGGCTGAGAGAGTTGGAATTGTTTAGTCTGGAGAAGAAAAGGTTCCAGGGAGACCTTATTGCAGCCATTCAATACTTACAAGACAGGGACAGACTTTTTAGTGGGGCCTGCAGTGATAAGACAAGGAGTAATGGTTTTAAACTAAAAGAGGGCAGATTTAGACTAGATATAAGGAAGAAATTTTCTATGATGAGGGTGGTGAAACACTGGAACAGGTTGCCCAGAGATGCGGACCAACTCCTCCTCCATGTATTTGAGCAACCATCTTATTTAATCAATTAATGCTTTCCTCTTTAAACCATTTTTTGCCATCATGAATAATGGTTGCACACATGTCTAGCTGTGGGACATACCATAACTCCCTTCAGCAATCTTCTCACAGATTTTCATACTTGTATTTCTTCTGTCTAAGTGTTATCAAATTATGCCTCTCAGAAGGTGCATGCCTTTGTTCCTTAACCACATTTACTGTGGTCCACAACAGAGGTCGGGGTTTTTTTTGACTCAAAGTTGTCCTTTTCATGCAATCCCTGTATCTGAAAACATTGTCTCACTTTTATCAGTCGGTCTCCAGGTCGTAGTCTCCCATCACTTTTGGCAGGATCCTGAACAATGTCATGAATGTAGCAGCCAACGTTATCGTTACCTTTGGTTACTGTAAAACCCAGACTACCCTTTTCTGACTTTGTCATAGTCACTCGGAGCTCTACTTCCTAGGGGAAGAAAAAAGCACTTTACAACACAAACAGAAGCAATGTAAACGCTTTACTGAATTTAAGACAGTTAGAACTAGACAGCTGATTTACCTATTGGTTTAAATAGAACACAAGCCTAGACAGTACCAAGATGTGTCTTAGCAGGCTCAGCTTGGCTGCTTCAAGTAAGCACCTCTAACGAATTCAGATGGACTACTGTTTTGCATGGAGCTAACCTTGGGCCAAAGGCCTATGATCAAAACAAAATTGTGAAGGCACACGCCAAAACTGACACCTTATTTTACCCTTAACTAGCTGCCATATATAAAAAAGGCTCTGTATTTTTCAAATAAGACAATGCATCAGGAATTATTCAGCTGAAGAAAGTAGGTGAGTTTTTTCCTACAATGAGAAACAATACCATAGCTTATCTCGGAACTGAACACATGGACATGTTTTGCCTATTTTAATTTGCATGAATTTTTACTTGAAAGATACAGATCTGCCTCATTTGCATAGAAACTCACAGAGCACCAGGAAGGTTTGAGAAAAACTTCTGAAGAAGGGACTAAGAAAAGGACAGTTTATTTCTTCTCAAAATGGAGTATGGGCTAGAATAGCTTTGTGACCTGAAAGACCCTCACAACTGAGACATACCAAGGCTCAATTTTCTTTTTTTTTTTTCAATCTGTGAATAGATTACGTGAGGAAGCAGAAGTCCCTCCTGACACACAACCCATTTCTGGCATGGCAAGAAGCTATGTCAGAAGACTCTCAAAAATATGCTGCATTTTGCAGCAGAACAGAAAGTCTTTGGGATTCATAGATTTAAATACAGCAAAGAACAGGGTCTCCTGATGTCCCTGCTACCCTGATTCACCCTCTGGATCTCTGAACAACCACACCGAAAACTAACAGGGCAGAAGCAAGATATCTGCCATTTAAGCTTCTTCTGAGTACATGGTTTAGAGGTAGGTAAATATTTAATACCAAGTTTTCCAGGCTGAAATGACACACCAAACAGACACACACATCCACCTATATGCACATGGATGCCTCCATGTTCACAGAGGGAAATATATGAACTCCTCAAGAGCCCAGACAGAAAATGCTTGCAGACATTTGTATGAGCAGCTGCTCATACAAATGCTAGTTCACTGCTCATACTAGTTTACTAGTTACAAATAGCACATGTGTGTGCCATTTATAAGACACACAGCCAGGTTAGCGCAAGTATAACCTACAAGTATCCCATTTGTAAATTAATATGCCTAACTTCTATCCAGTAACTCCCAATACCATGGCTAAAACAACCTCCAGTTGGCCACAGCAGTAGGTACACTCATGCTACTGAAAAACAGAAATAGTAAATTACTGGCTCATATTCTTCAGCACTTTTTTCCAACTGGCTGAGTAATGAATCCATTCCTCCCAGGTGCGGAGTCAGCTCAGAAGCAGGAGTAGCATAACAGTCATTTATTAAAACAGATGTGGTAACATCAGGAACAGTTCTACAGGTTGGGATCAATGGCAAATCCAATGGCAGATTACTACAGACAAACAAGCAAAAAACAATGATCAGCTTGTACAATGTGGCTGTCACCCATAAATGAATATATGGACCAATATTGACTTTATGCAGATCTAAAACCAGAAAAAGTACTTCTATGAATAGGTCCAATAAACTACTTTTATAAACACCTTCTGCAATATTACAAGGATCATTACAAACAGCATACCTGTCCTCCAGCTCTGACTTGCTAGGAGCCTCTTGTTCAGAATATAAGATGGTGCGAACAGCCTCCTCCTGACCACCGTCTGCCTCATACTGACTATGTGCCTGTGTCATAGCTTCATCTGAAGTTTGGTACAGTGCAGAACTCCAGCCAAGGCCCACCTGTGGTGGCGAGTCTATCACCTCCTCATCACCACTCCTGCTGCTGTCACTGTAGCTGTCTCTTCTAGAGGGAGATTTTAGCCTTTTCTTGCTCAGATCAGTAGCTTCATTTTCATCTGAGCTGTCACCTTGTTCTCCATTTGATGGACCAGAAACTTCTCTGTTGGTATCTGGAAATACTTGTTGGGGTGAATGGATGGGAGTCTACAGAGAGCAAGGACATTTAATTCATCAAACTCTAGTTTTGATGGCAAAGAAAAGTTGCAAAGGCTGCATAAAACTACCAAAAGCAATCAGTCAGTAGCTCCTTCCATTTAGATGTTGCCTCAACTGTGTAAGTGTATCATAGCACAGTTTCACCGAGTTCAACACAACTTGACCAAGACAAAGTGTGCAAAAATTTGAAACGTATACTGCTAAAGAACTGCAAATTCATCCAAGGAAAACAAATATACTCTTGGCTTTAGCCTCAGAGAGCCTACTGACAGATGCCTTTAAGCTATGCCCAGCAGTGATCTAGGCAATTACCATGAAATCCCTTCTAACCAGAACATGCCGCTGACGCTTACAGTGCAACTGAAGTAAAAAAATCTTACACAGGAGGGAAACAGGGAAGCTTTCAAGCAAAAAGCTACATAACAGACTATAAAAATGATGGTAATTTATGCCAAATGGAGACTGTTCAGCCAAGTTATTAAATCCCGTGAGAATGAAGAACAGTTTTGCCAATAATCACATATTCCCAAGAATGATGTCAGCTAGCAGACACACAAAGTTTAAAAGCTTCATTTACGCTTTTAAGGCCAAATTCCTGTGTTCATGAACACACCGATCTGTGATAATGTTATAAACAAAAATTGTCATTTGTTTATTGGTTTTTCTCTTCTTTTAATATATGCACTGTTTTATTAAAGTTATTCCATACCACAAACAGGTTCATTACAGGACTAGTTATTTGTATTATTAGTTTGTTAGTTGCTCCTCTCTCACTCTAATTTCAACTTCACTTAAATTTGTATTTGTACATTTAAGTTTCTGTTATCAGACTTGGAATGTTTTTTACTGTTTGAAAATGATATTAAAATAACTTAAATTGAAGACTTGTCTCCATTAGTTTTACACTGTATTATGGAAATCCTACTTTTCAGGCAAATTCCCCTCTACATTCTCTTTTGCTGAAACACATTTAATTTTCACTTCTTTCAAGTATCCTAAAATGGCCTTCTTTTTTTTCTATTTACTTTTTGGAGCATTTTGAAAATATTCTTTGGGACACCTCTAATATCCAGTAAGTAAATATGGCAATCTTTTCCCTGGTTTTACATGCATCAAAACCAGACAAATTGGTGTTTCACAGAATATTCTTCACATACAGAAATATCCAATTCCTATCTGAGATCAACTTCAAACCGCTGGGCTGCAAAGAAACCCCTACCACAGAAACAGTGTATTAAGCCAATTTCCAATGTCTTAAGCCACAAAATGGAAGGGGGAAAAAAAAATTAATAAAGCCCTGCATTCTTTTCACATTTCCACAAAATGCTTAGTGCACTCCTGAGGGATTTACTATAAGAACCATGTTTCTGTGATCACCCTCCCGATCCTTCCATCTGCATCTTGCATTTAACTAACCCACCCACCAGATCAAATAAATGAACCTTCAAATAGCAGTTAAAAAAGCAGGAGGAAAAAAAAAATCATATGCCATACACCTTACCAACAAAGAAGGATCGATGTCTGGTAATATACCAGATGGTGGCCGACAAAGGAGAAGAGAGACTTCTGGAGATGTTCCCCTCAGAGCAGAGATGACTTCCTATGGCCACAGTGGGATTTATTATTAGACGCAGACCCCCAACACTCGCAGGACTACCACAGCATGAGTTTTGCTACTAAGATACAAACCTGCTGGGATAAACCCTTTAGCGATGCCCCATTCACTTTCAGAATGACGTCCCCAATTTCTATCTGCCCACTTTCTGCGGCGGGCTGCCCAGGGAAGAGCTTTTTCACCCTCACAATAGTTGAGCCCAGCTGCTCTGGGGTAAGGTTATCTTCACGGCAGAAACTGAACCCAAGGCCTGAGCTATTCTTCAACAGCTTTACCTCAAATGTGTTCTCTGCAAAAGAAACATTAACTTATTATTTCCTACAGCATGCTGGCCATGAAAAAAAGTGGCTGGCACTCTTATTCCAGACGTGACAATGCACATATTCCTCCCGACAGGGTTCTTCCACTTTACTGAACACAAGCGTTATCCAAAAGGTCCCACCAAGTTAAAGAGGACAAAAAGCTGATCATGACTTCTCAGTCTGCTGGCTTGCCCTGACAACATCCACACTATACAGAAAGCCAGGGTGTCTCCAAAATACTGTTCCCCAGGAAGTCCATTAAGGAACCTGTTAAAGCACAGTGACACAACCTTTCTGGCCACTGCTCAGACATTAGTGAGAAGAGCAACTGGAGTTCCTGGCAGACAGGATAAATCCCATACAGGAAGATCAAAAGATATCTGCAGTGGTTTCCCCATCTGGGTAGGCCTCCCTCCACTTTCACAGGTCTCCAGCTGAAATATGCCAACCTCTAGTCAGATACACAAATCCCTTTTCCCTCTTCATCCAGCTCTTGATTTTTTTCTCTCACCTAGACAGGAACAGCAGGACCTACAGAAGCTCTCATTTATATATGAGTATCTTAACCTCCACTGCATTCCTTAGCACCACCAAAGATAGCAGCACCCCTTTTACTCCAACCTTGCTACAGCCCTGGCCTGCAGGGCTGGTGAAATTGGAAAACAACAAGGAACAGTGAGATAGCAAACAGTTAAGAGTAACTAAACAAAGATTCCCTTTCACCTCTTGGTAACTTAAAAACCAAATGCAACAGCACAAAAAAGAAGAGACTGCATTATGTGCAGGGGCTCGGTATAGATTCCTACCAGCTCTTTCTCCTGTCTTTCTATTCTACAGAAGATTTGAAGAAAAATATTATAAAAACTAAAGGATGCTTTGAAAGTTCAGACAATTGTCCTATGTGACCTGACCTGCAGTGACAAAGCTGTAATCTTTGGCATTTGTAGTTTTTGTCGCTGGTTTCTCCTGTGGCTCACATTGCCCCACCTGATTTGGAGGCGTGCATTGTGGTGTTATTGGAGCATGAACCTTGGCCACTGAAAGCTGACCTTTTTCCAACAGCAGATGCACCACCTAAAGAGATGAAATATTCCCCAGTTAACTGGCAAGGGTCATGGAGATAGCATAATCTAGAGTACATGTTTCTTTCTAACTTGTCAGGGTCCTAAGTTTTACAGCAGCAAACTTTGCAGATGCCTCCCTCCCCACACACCCTTCATTTGTCCTTATTTTAAGGGCTGTAAGTGACAACCTCCAAAATACACTAATGGACTTGTAAGATACTTGCCAACACAGAGTAAGAACGGGTTTTCTTCCAATAAGGCTGTGACGGGGGTTAAGAAGTGTCAAAGACATGTCATTTCCACATGCGTTCAGGGAATAGGATTAAAAGCATTTTATAAAGGGAGCACAAACAGTAGTCCTTAGAAGCTCTGAATGTGTACATTCACTGGCTATTTTCAGGTGTGCATGTACTTCCACATATGAAGCAGCCACCATGAGCAGCATTATTAAATGAGGACACACCACTGACAGAATCAAGCACTATCCAAAAAGGCCAAGACTCAAGTAAAGCTACCGACACAGCATGCAAACACAGTTGCATATATGGAGCCCCTTGTCTCCTCAGCGGTTCTGATTCAGGACCTGTATGTAGCATGCTGCCACAGCTGCTCTCCAACCCACACACCTGGGCTTCCTTCCTATGAAGCCCAGGGACAAGGTGAGACCAATTCCATGCAGACCTCTCACCCGCACACAGAGCCAGAATTTCACTACGGTGTGCAGCAAGACTCAAGGCCCAGGAAGCCAAGGAGTCTAAGAAAGCACACCTAAAGCAACCAGGACACTGGGGAGAATTCCAGTCTTCAAGGTTCCTTTACCTCTTTCCACTCCTGAAGATCTGGTTTACTACAGATAGGAGCAGAACCAGCGCTGCTTACCTGCCCAGTGTTTCTCAGCGTTTCAACAGCTTGTTTATGGGTAGCACCTTCCAAACTAATCCCATTGACGGAGAGCACACGGTCACCTACAAATCATTGATTACTAATTTAATACAAAGATGGCAGAACATATATAAAACATGTATGATGCACAGAAACCTTCAAGTCTCAGGTAACAAGGACAGTTACTGAAGTAATTCTCCCTCCCCTCCACACTCTGAGTCAAGGAAGAGAACTTTGCAACTAAACTATATGGTTGGACTCGATTTTTAAAGGTCTGTTCCAATCTAAATGACTCTAGGATTCTACGGGATAACCCCACGTCAAAGCTAGTGTTTTTTACCCATCAGAATGATAGCCTGCCACAAAGCTCAGACTCTATTAAAAACAAGTATTAGTCTACAGTGGGAATTCCCACTTCAGTAAAGAATGTGGCCTGACTTACAAACAAGAAAAGCTGTAACCATTACAGTGATTTTCTGTATTGAATTGCCTAGCATGCCAAGCAAGGCGGCCACAAATAATACAAAGCCCTCTTCATGGCTGGAACAGAGAAGTGTTCTCCATTAGTACAGGCTGCATTAGGGGGGAAAAAAAAAATAAATATCCTGCAGCCTATCTCCTATTTTTCCCCTTCACAGTCTCAGCAGTTTTCTGTAGGTTCTGCAGTTGTTCTACACTTTTTTTTAATCTTCACCTTCAGAATTAGCTATCAAGGCAAATATTTAAAATGACAACTGGAAATGCAGTAGCTTGGAAAAACAACTCTTCTTCCCAGTGAAAAAGGTACAATGAAAGGATGCAAACAGAGTTCCTGGCTTCTAGGCTACAGTGTATCATCAAGTCCACCACAGACAGTTATTTGCCCTTTTTTCACATTAAGAGTTCCAACTAAAAGAACTGAAATACTACCTTTTTCTATTCTGCCATCTGCTTCAGCTGCTCCCTTAGGAATAATGGCTTTCACATAAATACCACCATGCCTTATGCTAGTATTTACACCGCCCTAAATGGAAAGCAAAAATAGGATTTGTTAGTCTTTTTGCAGTTAGAATACTTAGTAATTAAACACAGTGTCACACAAGGAAAACTGTACTCAGGAAGCACTTGGGCTACTGGCATGTAAAAAGAACAGCCAAACTATCAAAACCAAAATGTTACACAAAGCATGTTTCCACAGTCATGCAATTTATTACAAATGAAGTTGGGGTGGGAAGATTGTAAAAACATGATGCATCACAATGCAAATGCACCCAAAACAAATAAATGTCCTTCAGCAGAAACATGTCTGCATTACACCGGACTTTACATGCTTGCATGCATATCAAAGCTCAGAGATGTGTGAGAGCAGAGCATGCCAAAGCAGAAGATGCACACCCATGCAGTGTCCTACTCTAAAACACCCTCTCTGGTGTAACAGGAAACTAAGGAGTGCTGCTTTCTCTCAGCTCATATAAGTTTGAAGGTCTAAGCTGAAAAAATCTGCTCATGCTCAAATGGCATTGTTTTTGGAGGGCCTTATAGCCTTTCTGCTCATTGCATGGGGGGCTGGACTAGATCTTTAAAGGTCCCTTCCAATCCAAACCATTGTATGATTCCGGTTCACTGCTGCCCTGTTAGTGCTCCTCTGCAAACTCGGAGGGAAAAGGGAGACCAACAGTATATTAATGTTCACTCCCAAAGCACACGGTATTACATGTGAAAACTTAAAATATGAGCTAATTGTACACCTCTTCTTTTCACCACTGTACAGGATAGCAATGCAAGGGGAAGAACGGAGGCTGAAAAAGGGAAGGTCAATGAAGACACCACTTGGTCATCCTTTAAGGGAAATCTTTGCATCGGTTGGCATCTTCTAACGTTTTCTACAAAGCCAATGCATGCATACAGCAGGCTTGATGCTATTCAATAACCAAATCCTTGAACCTTTGTTCCTCCAGCTGTCTCAAGTTATAAGCTTGACAAAGCAGTATCACTTTGAATAGACTGGGACGCTAAAATAATAGAATTTCATTCTGCTCCTCTTACAGTACTAGCTATATGAAAACAGTGCTAGGCTTGCAAATTGGCACTCCACCTACATGCCTATCTGTATGGCCACATTTGGGAAAAGGCCAACTTAGTTTTACGTATGAACAGCCAGTGAAAGCCACCAGTTTTGAACTACAGCTAATAACTACTCTGTATCGTTATAATTTAAGCAACTTTTCCTTTTTCAAATTACCGTGTTGCCCGCCAATCAATCAACCAGAGATAATATTTGAATATTAAAATACCAAAATGTATTTTTGAACACAAGAGCAGCAGCAGTGAAAAACATGTGCATCTCAGTTCTAAAACACTCTCTTCTTCCCTGAAGTGCCACTCTACAGTATGGCAGGCCCTAAACATAAACTACCTTCAAAATTTTATAACCCAAAGGGAAATTAAGTCCATTAAAAATACGTTTTTGTCTCATATTGCAAGAAAGCAGTGCCAGCCAGGTCTTATTTGGATTTAAGTAGTTTTTTGCTTTCTGCCTTTCACCCAGCAGAGGGAGAACTCTGAACATGGTATATGGGTGTGGACGTGCATAGATACTCTTAAGTAACACTACCGCTTCCATTGCCTGCGATGCCAGTCAGGGAAGGTCTTATTTCTCTCCCTTGTAAATCTGCCATATTATTAGGTAGCAAGGGACAGAGACCATCTTGCTTTTAGTACTCAAAGCAGCATCTGTCATAAGATTCTATTAGGACTTTGGGGCTCCACCGTAAGACAACAAAACAAGAATTACTTAAAGGGCAGATGACAAGAGAAGGGATATAAAATAGTATTACTTTTCAGCGTTGGTAAGATTAATCATACATCAGTAAAACCATATACTTAGTGACGCCAGAAAAATATTTTGCTTCCTTGTAATTTAGCAGTTTAATGGGTTGCTGGGAGTAGAGAAAAAGAGAAAACATCTAAAAACCTTGTCAAACAGTACCGTGACACTTATTCCCAAGCCGTTATCTTTTTTGGCTAGTTCAACCTCAAAGATATCTCCAGGTTTAAGAAGTGTTGCAGTACCCTTTTTAGAATTCATTTTGTTTGCTGTATTCGCTGAGGAAGATTCCTTTATTAAAAAAAAACAAAACAAAAAACCAAAAAAGAAACAAAAAGAGAGAATGATTTGCCATTAGAACAGAAGTTTACAGTTAAGACCCTAAAGGGTGTGCTTTTGAGTCAGATGCAGCCAGAAGGATTCCACATGGCAAAGTACCAATTAGTAAGACTCATAAAGCTTATTGCTTTAACTCTTCCATTACTGCCATTGAATAGATTTAGCACAGCTTGGCGTTCAGCAGCTGAGTCTTTATTGTCAAAGTGAGTTTGTCACAGAACACAAAAACTACAGTACTTCAGTATTACAGCAGCCTAGGGTCTGTTGGATTAATTTGCAGGAGCTGCCACTACTTGACTGAATAACCTCTATCAGCTGAAAAGAGGAATCACTGCAAGTTAGGAACTAATTTGTAGTACTTGCCATTGTGTACTTTAGGAAAGGTGAAACAGCAAGCTGTCTCTGTTCAGAGCATGGCTCACTGCCTGAACTTCACGACACAACAGCAGTTTCCCATGGATTAGATCAACCCCAAAAGCCAGTGAGTTCTGCTGCTACCCATTCCAGATGCATCACTACTACTTTAATCTAGGAAAAACTTAATTCCTCTGCCAGGTGAATAAACTTACCTCTAGGGGTGGTCACTAGGCTATGATCATATTGGACAAACATACAGAACTGAAAGGAGGTTTTCTACAGAATCAACAAGTGCACTATACATTCATTCCAACAAACAATCTGCCTCTAGTAAGACATGCCCACCTTGTGACACTGGAAAGCTGGGAAGTTGTTTCAAGTTATAGGAGTGATTTTCTCCATTTATTTTGAACAAAATCACCAAACTATTAGAAATTAGCTATTAGCATTTGCCATTAGAGAAGGATAAGCTGCAGGCTAGGCTGCCCTTCCCCAACATCCTTTCACGTTACTCACATCCACAGTCAGCTATTTCACTATTATACCAATGGGAAATATTCATATGAAATACACTATGCCTTTTTAGCTGGCTGTTGCTCCTGACTGCTGGAATAAGTTGCTTCATCCATGTCAGAATCCCCTCGGTCAGAATATTCCACAGACTCCATTACCCCAGGCCTTTTATTTTTTGCTCGAGTGCTGTCAGATGAGGATCTTCTCTTCTCATTCATTTTAGAAAGCCCAGACTGGGAATCACTGTAATGCTGAGGATCCTGCTGGGCTCTACCGCTTGCATGTTTGCCAAAGCAGCTAGCTGTCTGGCTCTGAGACAGGCTGGTGCTCTCAGTTCTGGAATCCTGGGAGCTCACACTTCCATCTCGCTTGCCTCCCGACAAACCAGACAAACTCCCCGAAACAGGCCTCTGGTGACCACGGGACCAGTTGTGTTCTTCAGAAGAGGACTCTGCCTCATTGTCCTGCACCGATGATGGCCTCCTTAAATAACCCCTGGTTCCATTAGTGATGTGTGCAGCGTTAGACGATGCTGAAAACCAGGAGACAAACAGTCATCAGTAGCTGGTAACATCAGCAGTATGACACATATTTCTCAGCTTACAACCATGTAAGGTTTTACCCACTAATATTATGCAGGACACTTTCTGTTTACAATGCAACCCGTGTGTCCTCACCAAAGATTACCATAAAACACTTCTTCATTCAGTCTCAGAACACAATTTCAAGTATATACTAGCTGGGGTTGCTTACAGAAGTGACTGCAGTTAGGGTGACATTTTACAGCTATCTCAGTTGATTAGATCAGTAATTTTAAAGAAACACAGAAAGTACTTTACAAAAGGTGTCAGAGAAGGCAGAGTGCTCACAAAGAACAACTCTTTAATTATAAGGAATATTTCTCTCCGTACCTTTGGATAGCTTGTCCTTGGGCTGAGAGATAACAAGTGTCACGTCTTCAGGTGCATTCTCCAAAATTTCTAATGCTGCATGGTGGCTGACGCCTTCTAAACTTGTGCTATTTATGGATATTAGTCGGTGTCCTGCACAAAAGGGTTTGTTCAGATACAATCTAACATCTACATTTTTATCCATCAGTGAGAATGGGGAGTACAGGTCTGAAAATCTCTACACAATGCATGGATTAAAAATTACTAAAATTCAAGTGATGCTGGAATAGGGAACCCTAAGCATTTAAAAAACCCCAAAAGACAAAACAAACTACAAGAACCGGTTATGAATACTTCCTCTTTTTAAACCTGCCAAACCTTTCCATATTATGATTTCTACCTTCTCTTCTGCTCTAAGAAACACAGATGCAAAAGCAAAAATCAAGAAGTGAAATAAGTATGCAGTTCAGTTCATGGCACAGGCTAAAGAGAAAAAAAAGCAGATATTAAATAAAATAAATTTTCTCCCCCTGCCCCCGCTATAGTAGCCATATGGTTACATTCACTTTTTCCAAAATTGAAGTATGGATTTGGAGTTTTTAAAAATTGAAATTACAAAGCATCTACAGAGAGACAATAGCAAATAAAGCCCTTATCTTTATACATAACTTTCATTTTCTGCTACTTCAAGCTTTATCATTTTTACTTAGATTCAAATTATTTTTGTTTTCATATAGTTTAACGAAGATTTATCACCATTTTTAGAAATTGTCCAGAAGGTAACTGAAGGTCAGCATTTGTAAGGGACTGATGCCCATAGCCATAGATGGAAATGGTACTACATATGTGTCTGGCCTTTTCTTTCATGTATACACCTCTTCTTATTTACACTATTCACCTGGTTTTAGAGATCCTTCCAAATCAGCTGGCCCTCCAGGAATAAGCGAATGAATAAAAATTCCCAGATCAAGTTTCCCCGTCTTCTCTCCACCGACTATTTGAAAGCCTATTAAAAAAGGCCCATGGCAGGCAACAATGTCAGTGACCACAGTGTAACTTAACACAACGCAAGTCCATATTTCAGAATGGACAAAAACTTATTCTAATAGATGTAAAGTGAAAGAAAACTATACATCTCAAAGAAGTCTATGTGAAAGTAAATAGTAAAGCCTTTTTGATTAAGTTTTATTGCATCCTCTGTTTTTGAGCAAGCGATTCAGACTTGGTCTAGCTGGCTTCCCAGAAGACTCCAGCAAAGGTTACAAAAGACAACTGTGGCAAGAGAAACACATGCACAAACAGATGACATTAAATGTACATTCACTGACCAGATGAAATATATTTTCCTCTTACTTAAAAATTTCTGGTTTTCTCTGTTGTTAGATGATTCACCTAAATGTTTGACCTTGGTCTTAAGAACTGAGTTTTTCAACTCCCTGTTTTCTTTTGAGGCTTCTAATCTATTTCTGCTAATTTCACCAGGTAAACCTGGGAAGGATGTTCAAGTCAAAAAAAAAAAAAAAAGAGAACAGAAGATATCGGTCTTCTCTATTCTAGCTAAAACAGCAGAGTACCACAGAATGCACAGGGAAGAAAGAGAAGAAACGGTGCATTTCATATGAACGTCTTTCCTCTGTGGTCAACTCTAAAGTTACTGTGTAGGGTTAACACTAAATATTATTATCTTATAGGCTTTTTCCCCCTCTTAAAATTTACGTAACAGTCCCATTTTGAATGACAGACAGAACAATGTCCTTAAGCACACTTTAGAGAGCCTCCCTAAAGCACAATACTGACACCAAATTATTCATTACTCATACAGGAAAAAATTATGTGGGTTTATGAAAAAATTCAGTGGTAGAAGAAGGAATGGAATGCAAATATCTCATCTTCCAGGCTCCTTAAACCTCAAGTTAGTGTTCCATCTGATGGTATTATAAAAATAAGAAAAACACTCCACAATTAGCTCATAATGGCTTTATAATGTCTTTTTTTTGTTTAAAGCCTTCAAGCTGTCACAGCTGCGAGGTGCCCACATAGACAAAAATCTTGTATCTGAACGCAGAGATAAACTTTAAAGGCCCACTTTTAGGACGATTAGTTCACAATATAGATTATCATCCTACACTTACAATATGGAAAAACTGAGAAGCAGACTTGCTTAACATCACTCAACAAAGCAGCAGCAGGCACTATCAAGTAAGTCCAGGCTTTGGCACCTTAAATGCCTTCAGTAGTGCCAGCTACTGTCTGCACTACTTTCCTCAGTCCTACAATAAATATGTATATACAGATCAGAAAAATTTTGGTTTTGGCTTCTAGGAGCACACAACGACAACAATTTTAAAGTCACTTACCTAAGCCCAATTTTTCATCCTTTTTCAAGTTCACCAAAGTGATCTCTCTTTCTGGTGAGGCAACTCTGTTCTGTGTTGTTTGCAGAGAGTCAACTGAAAAGCCAGCATTTCATGATCAGACACTACTTGAATGCTTCCCTTCAGGTTTGCCTTGAAGTTCTATTCCATTAAAAAAGATTACTTCTCTAATAACCTGAAAAGCCGTTCTGAACTAGTGAGTCCAACTTTGATCTTCCAAACCATGTCCAAATATAAAAAAAACCCCAAACTACCACTGTTATAACCCACTCCCATCTTCAGCAGTTAGTATCTTTTATTCCTCCTAAGAAAAGCACCTAGCATAGTCTCTCGGAATCACAACTGAGCCCTAGAACCTTCAAATTTATTAGTCTCAGTACAGCAAAGTATTTAGAGCTGTGTTTACGTGCCCTGCTCAGGTAGGCAGGGCGTAAGCACATCAGTAAAAGTGAAACTGAGGCTTATTATATGAAGTTACTAAAAGGTTCTCTCATTAAGTTCTCTTAATGGTGGTCCTTCATTAAAAAACAACCAACCTTAGAAGCATATAAAAAAAACCCTATCTTGTTTAAATTTATTTCTTCATTTGCAACTCCACAGGCTGATGACTGTGCTTCTTCCAAAATTTGAACACCCTCACAAGAGATTTATGCAACTCCTGAGGGCTCCCAACAGGCTGAAGTAGACACAGGCGCTTAAGAGACAGCAAAAGCATGATTTGGAAAAAAAACAGTCTCCTGAAACTTCAGGAAATGTCAACATACTGTAAGTCTGAACCCATGAATTTGCTACCTAGATAAGATGCAACTCGTTTGGTCTGGAGTGCCTGGCGTACTTTTGCCTTAAGTGGAACATGAATTCCACAACAGCAGAACCCTACTGAGCTCTACACACTGGTACAAGCAGAAAACAGTGGTGCAAGAGATTGAGACAGACCATACCACCTGGAGAAGGAGTTTTTTCTCCCACAAAACCAAGTCAAACCTAAAGAGTAAAAGAACTAAAAAGAAAACACAGTCTTCTCAGGCTCTACAGAACCAATAACCTCACAAGTAAGGGAAATGAGCTTTGAAGAGCACAGTACATTAGGTAATAGCACCCTTCAAGTCTCAAACTAAACAGACACTATTCATATTTGAAAAATATTACACAATGTCAAAATCTCCTACAAGAAGCAATCCAAAAGAAACATCAGGTGTTGTATTTAGGAAAAGGTCTTACCCAACTAACTTGGAGAGAGATTTAAGAATAATGAAGAAACAGGACAGATGGAACAGTGAAGCACTTTACAAGTGCTTCACAAACTGACTGAATTAATTCTGTAGGCATGTTATTTATCAACTTACCACTGTCTTTTAACAGCGTCGATGATGGAAGATTTCCTGAGGTATTCATGCTAACACCTGTGACGTGAATGGAAATATTAGACCATTGTTATAATTTTTTTTTTTTAAATACAAAAGCTACCAAGAAGTATTTCAGACTTTACACAGTACACGTGAGCTCATTCACAATATCAGATTACTTACTTATTTTAAAAATGAATAAACATGAAAGTAGTTTTGGATTAGCAAATCCTAATTACTCATGTATTTTGGTTGTAGTTCAAAGTTCAGATAGATGGTAGCTCATGCAAAGGCAAAGAATTAAAGAAAGGACAGAGGTTTGGCCTTTACAACCACTGTTAACTTCAGATAAAATTAATGGATCTTTAAGAAACTAAGTCAAAGACTAAATTTTCTAACAGGATCGGATGACTATGCCTAACCTAATAAACCAACACGAGTTTTGTAAGATTTTGTACAATAACAAATAAGTTGCAGCAGTAACAAGCAATTTGAACCAAGTATTTCTATTTAAACTGGTTTGCATATAGAATCATGTTTTCTTTGGAATGATCAATGCCAAGCAAGTATGGCCATACTTTAAAGAGGATAAAATAATAAATGTACTAAGTTATGAAAGTAAATGAGGTAAGATAATTCAGGCTTCTTCGGAAAGCAGTCCTGGCCTTTTCTAAACCTCTGAACCCTGAAGTTTCAGCTGATGAGTTTCATCATGCAAAGAATATGTGTCCCCCAGCACAGGCAATGTGATTCAGCACAACATTCTGACACATAGCTAAGATCTTTATCAGAATTGCTGCCCAGAAGATTATGGGTAAGCACATGATAACACTAATTGTAAAGGTAAAGGCATAGGATAAATGGCTGCAACCAGTCACTACAGTAACCACATGCCTCATCTCCCTCTTCAGTAGCTTATGCTCTCAGTACTGAAAAAGCATGGTTCCCAAGTCAGTCCTGGTTTCAAGTGCAGCGGGGGCAGATATGCTAAGTGTTTGTATGTCACATACTGTTTTGGTCTTTTTCGTTCAGGTTTTTTTGCAAGTTAGTTTATACCGACCCCATAAACTTAACCTTCTTCCACTTTTTCTGATGATCTGTAACTGATCAATATTTTAATATTAAGCAAAAGCAAAGCGACAAAAGCAAGTTAAGGCTGTGTTTCAGTCATTGTAGCTTCTACTATTATAACAGGAAACCTCCTATAACCAGAAACTGATGACACGCAGATATTAAAAAATAATGTACAATAATCCAATGTGCGAGCTTAAGTCTATTTAGGTGCTCTGAATCTTTTTTTTTTTTTAAAATGTGAACTCTGTATTTTTACTGCCTAGTAAGACTATTTATGTGCAATCCAATCCTTGCCAAGAAAATGAAGCAAGCACATCTGGCTTAGCTCATTACAAGAGTGTTTTTGTGAAACACCCAACACACTGCAAAAAAATTGTACTTAATTTATTATATCCAAATGAGACCAAACAAAAAAGAACTGTGCAGTTACTGCTCAGAGGTACTAGCCAATAGCCAGCTTACGCCAAACTGAGTCCACTTCCAAAAATAATCACTCCCCTACACCCTTTCCACAGAAAACTTAAAAAAGTTCAAGCTTGACAAACAGACTGTGAAGACCAGCACATTAATAAAAGATCCATACAATAAAATGGCACTCTGAAGTGACAAAATGGAAGATGTTTTCTGAAACAGCTTTTACTGCCAAGTACTAATACTTTGCACACCTGTGTACAGACTGGTTTTGTCCAAAGGAGGATTTTTTTGATTCATTCTAACAATTATTCAGGAACAACAGGCAATTGGCCTGGATTACTTTAACATGTCATACTCTGCTCCCTCTTTCAAATAAAAAATACTACCATCAGTTAATAAATACATCAAAGCATTATGCCCAAAGCAATTTTAGAGGTTAGTTAGTAAATACAGCAATATTATTTTTTGCATGCTGACCTACAACGTAGGCTTGACCGGTATCTTCAATGGATGATGAGTCTGATTCATTTTTCTTTCTTTCAGGGCTTCTACTTAAACCTGCATGAGATTTTGAACTTAAAGGGGAGAAGGAGAGAAGGGGAACCAGACAGATGGAAGAGGAAGTTGGGAGAGGGAAGGGAAGGATCAATGTAATAAAATAATGGTATGGATAATAAATCAAAAATCATGCAAAATGTACATTGACTGTACATAAAGATATTGCAGGGCAGTCAAAGAGACTCTTACTTGCTCAGTTTTAATGCTCCCGCTGTTGATCCAGTATCAAATTTTGGCATTTGCTGAAAGACTCTTCCCATTATGTCTTCTATTTTTTGGGGGGAAGAGTCCAAAGCAGTAATAATATTTTTCCTTGGGGGGTAAACCGAGATGTGGCTTTGACTCAGATCATGAAATGACTTGCTCATAACCCTGGGTCTTTCCTCCCAGGGAGTCTTCTCATTCTTGTCCTTTGAAGAGCCAGGAAGTGGCTGGAAGAGTGAGAGCTCAGAGCAGGATAGCCTCTTCAGAATCTCTGCTTGAACAGAGAGAGGTCGAACGGCAAGTCGGTTCAAAGTGCTGCTGGCCAGGCTACCAGTACTGATTGCTCGTCCCATGTTGAAACCTTTGACAGAGTCTGCATGAAGGTTTAGGCTCCTAAATGAAGCCCTTTCTGTGGATTTTTTTTTTTTTTAAACAAAAAACAAACAAATGTTAAGTTACAGAGCAGAGCTAGTGTGACCTGCTTGTGTAAAGCATGCATTTTAAAAAACCAGCTCACACAAAGCATATTTTCTCTAGATGCTCAGAAGTATACACCATCATCAGGTACCTATAAACAACCACCATGTAGTTTGCTCAGGAAGCGAGGGAGTTCATGACATTACACTAACCTGACCATCTACTGCACTGAAGTCCAAAACCACAGAACAGCAGAATATTACCCCCTTATTAGTACAAAGACTCAGTCCCTGTTAAACTGCTGTGCCTTATATACAGGCACATCATCTCTCTCTGCAAATCAAATAATATCCTCAGGCCAAGTGACCTGGAAGACTACACTTCCTTTAACAAGTCTTTTCCAGAATTTGAACAAAAAGGGCTCCCCCACCTCTACACTATCAGATCCTAAACTTCCATCCATTCGTTGCTTAATTTTATTTGCATGAGTCCCTGACACTCTTACAGTACAGTTGCAAAGTTGTGGGGGCTTGGCAGCATCTCTACCTGGTTAAAGAGCATCAGTTCATTCAGGTGCACTTGGGGGCTTCCCCTGCCAGAAACATCCTAAATGTTTTAGGACAGAACAGAAAGCCTTGACTGGGGTTTGCCAGACTTTTTGACTCATGAACTAGGATTCCCTTAAGTAGCAGAGAGAAACAGGTTTTGGATTGTAATTAAATTACTGTCAGCTGAGTCGTGGGAACTGTCTGGGTGGATGTTCCTAGCTGAAAGCAAATGCAAGATAATACAACTTAGCCTAACCCACTTTTAATTCAGAGCAAAGCTGAGCAGGGCTCTTTGCTATTAGCCTAACTGCCTCCTAAGGCTAGCAGTTAAGTTCCTGTGGCTTGGCTCTCACACAGAAACTTGATAAGCTGCGGCAACATGTTTGCTGGTTAGAGCCTTTAAAGGAAATCAGGCCATCTGAACCCTTCATAAACTTCACTGATGTCTTGGAGTCAGTTCACAGGGAAGTCTAAGGAAAATCAATCCTCAACTATATATATATTTCTGATTTAGGGTTAACTAGTGTTTTTTTTAAACTCTACATACAGCTAAGAATTAAGCTGCTTTAGGAAGCTGCACTGTAACTCAAAAGGAAGATGCTACTTTTTGGTACACATCATCCATTAGCTTTACTAAATGATGAAGTATTTAAAGAGTGTATTTGGCAAATGTGACCTCAGCCATTCCAAAAGACATTCTTTCCTCCAATACCTAGGGCAGGAATGAAGTGCAACAGTAACTCATGCTTTCCCTGTAACAGGCATAAAGACTGAGAAGATTTAGTTGTGGAAGGTATTTTTTTGTCTTCTTTAAAAGTGAATTAGTATACAACTACCACTTCCTTACCCACACCAAATACCTCCTCTAGCCATAGCCACCACACAGACTAGACGAGCTACAAAAGTATGGTTTCGGTTGACAAGATCAGAGATCCACAAATCTCAGTTTCCTGACTCTGACACAAGCTACCAAAGACACTTGCTCCTGTTGTGTTCTCATCCTGGGGAAGAGTACCTTAATAAAATATTTTAAGATCTCTTGATGTCGTACTTGTCCTCTGCAAACACCGAACAGGATTTCCCTATGGATTTCAGATTAATACTTTCACATCATTATCTATACAGACATTAGGCCTTTCACACCTTCTGCCAACCCCTTAACTGAAAATTGCCATGTGCTCAAAACTCGTCCTTCGTAAGGCTGACTTAACCTTCACTTCATCTTTGTGGTTTTCTATATGCCCTTTCAGGAACCCAAACATCCATCTTAAAACTCAGTGCTTGGTTCTGTTTACTGCATGGCCACAGAAGCTGTGCAAAAAAGAAACCACCATTCCTCATGTTATACCTTATCTCCTTTCTTATGTACACACTGCTAGTATTTTTTCTTTTCCTTTTTTATTTTTTTAAAAAAAGTTTCTTTCTATTCATGCAGAAAGAATCATAGAATGCTTTGGGTTGGAAGGAACCTTTAGAGATCATCTAGCCCAACCCCCTTGCAGTGAGCAGGGACAGCTTCAGCTACATCAGGTTGCTCAGAGCCCCATCCAACATGACCTTCAACATTTCTAGGGATGGGGCCTCCACTACCTCTTCTGGGCAACCCATTCCAGTGCTTCACCACCCTCATTATAAAAAATGTCTTCCTTATATCCAGTCTAAACCTATCCTCCTTTAGTTTAAAACCATTATTCCTTGTCCTGTCACAACAGGCCTTGCTAAAAAGATTTTCCCCATCCTTCCTATAGGCCCCCCCTTTAAGTACTGAAAGGCTACAAGAAGTTCTCCCTGCAGCCTGCTCTTCTCCAGGCTGAACAACCCCAACACCCTCAGCCTGGCCTTGTAGGAGAGGTGCTCCAGCCCTCAGATCATTTTTGTGGCCCTCCTCTGGACCTGCTCCAACAGGTCCATGTCCTTCTTGTGCTGAGGGCTCCAGAGCTGGACGCAGTACTGCAGGTGAGGTCTCACCAGAGCAGAGTAGAGGGGCAGAATCACCTCCCTCGACCTGCTGGACACGCTTCTTTTGATGCAGCCCAGGATTCGGTTGGCTTTCTGGGCTGCAAGTGCACATCGCTGGCTCATGTCCAGCTTTTCATCTACCAGGAACCCCCAAGTCCTTCTCCACAGGGCTGCTCTCAATCCCTTCATCCCCCAGCTGTATTGATATGGAGGGTTGCCCCGTCCCAGGTGCAAGACCTTGCACTTGGCCTT